CCTGGAAGCTAAATCAAAGCAAATATAAAATTAAGAGAAAATTCTTACATATTGAGAAGTTAGTAAGTAATGTGACCACACATATTTTCAATAATAGAAGGATGGGGTGAACTCTTCATTCTACAATCTTATTATACATGGCACCCTCCTAGCATTAATGAGAATCAATACTTACATAAATACACCTTAATTTTGGCATACCTGAATTTCTTTCACGTATTAGAAAAGTCACCCTCAGAAAGGAAATGCAGAAAATTTCAAATTGATTTAAAAGTGAAACTTTAAAGAAATCATTCTACATTCAGAGCTTAGCTTTATTACAAGGTTATCACCTCAAATGGACAAAATTTTGTATATTATTAAATTCCCCCATTTTCCCTACGTTTATTGGAAATTTAAATGTAAGTTGAAATGACAGACAATAAAACACGTATGTGAATGGAATTATATTTTGAACAGGAAAATCGAATAATGCCTAAATCCAGGGTGAAAATGGACATTCTAGAAAGGAACAGTCATTATAAAGTTTTCTATCTGGTCTATTTCTGGGGACTTTCAAAGTATAACCTGGAACGGCTGGTTATCTTTTGAACTTTCAGGATCTCACAGTAATATTTTATAGCACTTCATAATAACCAGTGCCTAATTACTCCTTTATTAAAGGAAAGCAGTACCTCTGGGATGGGGCAGAAGCAGGAGAAAAAGAGGCAAGAAAACTTTATCTATCCAGCCCCCTGACTCAATTCCATCCCAACTTTTTAATTTTATATATATATAATTAATCATACATATTATATATTATGTAATATATCATTAAGCTATGATATATTAACAAGTCCTAAGAAAATCCTTGACCTGGAAAGCCCTTTAAATATTACTTAAACTCGGCAACTATATAGCTGAAAAATGTTAACTTCAGGCAATAAGGAAATGGAAGCCTTGGTTTATTTTCACTCATGCATTCATTTCATGAAAACATTGAACCCTGCTGTCTGCCAGGTTTTGCGATAAGCACTGGGGATACCAAAATGAAGGGGAAAGGCCTATTCTCTCTTTCCAAATAATTCTACTTATAGGGTATTTCTTCTCTATCTCATGGAAGAACCATCCGCCAAGTGACTCCTTGACTATCGTATTGCTAGCCTCTGTAGATCCTCTGGTTGAACCCCTTTATTCCTGAAGACCTGGCAGCCAGGGTTCATGGTCATTCTCTTTTGCCCAGTTCTCCCTCCAGTTCTGGATGAATTCAACATTGGAAGGCTGGGCATGGCGGCTCATGCCTGTAATTCCAGCACTTTGGGAGGCCGAGGCAGGAGGATCACCTGAGGTTGAGAGTTCTACACCAGCCTGACCAACATGGAGAAACCCCATCTCTACTAAAAATGCTAAATTAGCTGGATGTGGTGGTGCATGACCGTAATCTCAGCTACTCAGGAGTCTGGGGCAGGAGAACAGCTTGAACCTAGGAGGCAGAGGTTGCAGTGAGCCTAGATTGCACCATTGTACTCCAGCCGGGGCAACAGGAGTGAAACTCTGTCTCAAAACAACAACAACAACAACAAAAACACTGGCACTGGGGAAACGTGCATCACTCTAGCCTCTCAGTTCCTTAACTTGCTATTTCACCTCCATGGAAATTCACATCCACTCTACCTCTGCCACCTACTCAAATGGTCATATCCTAGATCTGATCACCTCAAACTTTTCCACCTTCAATGTTCACCTATGATTCTCTCCGACCACAACTTCTTGGCCTTCAGTTCCTTTACTACTTCTTCCCCATCTCCTGAAGAGTTAGCCTTTTGATTCCTCTCCCTGCTAATTACCAGCTTCTGCATGCATTCATAGTTTCTCCTACCCAACAGGGACTTGTCAGTATCATTTTAATCACTCTTTTGCCCAAATCCTCACTTCTCTTGCCCAGCTGTTCTCTGCCTACCCCAGGATGGAAGCATCTGGCTCCTAACTGTGCCTGGGGAAATATTACGCCCCTGCAGATTGGTGCTACCATGAAACGTTCAGCTGCCTCTGGGTTCATGCAGCTGGTTCTCAACTCTACCCCCTCTCTTATTCTCCACAAAGATAAGCCCAACTTCAGCTTCATCATCTCCTGCTGTTAACTGCATTGCAGGGACTCTCCTCTCCATACAAAAAAAGGAAGCCTTTAATAAGACACCCCTCACCTTGCTAATACATGGTGTCTTCTTTATCTGGACCTGCACAGATCCTTCCCTCTCCCCCACCCATTTCAATGGAAGAGAGGTATCTCTTCCTTCCCTTGGGCTCTGGATTACCTGCCCATATTCTCTGAGAACTCATGTTATTTATCATCTTCTCTGGGGCTGTGATTTTAATCTCACCCTACCTTCTCATACTCATACAAATATATTTTTGGTCTGCATTTGATTGAAAAAATCTACATATAAGTGGACCCAAGCAATTCAAACCCATGTTGTTCAAGGATCAACTGTATACATACACACACACACACACACACACACACAAATTTATATACACATATTGTGCCACATAATGACATTTCAGTCAACAATGGACTTCCTATATGACAGGGAGCACATTAGATTATACTACTATATTTTTACTGTGTCTTTTCTATGTTTAAATACATTTAGATACACAATACTTACTATTGTGTTATAACTGCCTACGGTATTCAGAACAGTCACATGCTGTACAGGTTTATAGCCTAGGAGCAATAGGCTATGTCATACAGCCTACGTGTCTACTTAGGCTATACCATCGAGGTTTGTGTAGTACACTCTTATATTGACACAACAACAAAATTGCCTAACAACACATTTCTTAGAACATATTACCACTGTTGAGCAATGCATGACTATACATATATTTCCATTAACTCCTCAGTCCCCTCCAGCTAGATACCACCTCACTCTTCTCCCTTTCATAAATAAATTCCTTCAAGAATCATTCATACCATCTCTAATTCTCTGCTTTTTATTTATTTTTGAACTCAGCACACCACCTCCACTGTGCCTCTAAAATCTCACCGAAGTTACTAGGGACCTCCCTGTTGCTAAACTCAACTGGCACTTTCCCCAACTTCATCCTGACATCCCAGCAACATCTGACCCTGGTGACGGGTTCTTTCTGTCTCCCCATGGAGTATGTGGCATTATAACCTCTTGGAATTTTCCTTCTCTCCTGCTGGCCATTCCTCTGCAGTCCCTTTTGTAGGTTGTTTATCCTGTGTCCTATATCACTCTTCCCTTCTCACTCTACACTTTCCTGGAGCTATCTCATCCTCTCCACAGTTACAAGCAGCACCTACAGGCTGATGATCCCTAAATATTGTTTGTATATTTCCCCTGAGCACCATAGCTCCGCATCTAACCTTAGTAGACAAGTCCACCATTCACCTGATATCCCAGGCCAAGTACCTAAGTGTCTTCCTTGACTCCTTTTTACCCACCACATCAAGCTTGTCCAACCTGTGACCTGTGGGCCATATGCGGCCCAGGACCACTTCTAACGAGCCCCAATGAATTTGTAAACGTTTCTAAAATATGATGAGATTTTTTTTACAATTTTTTTTTTAGCTCATCAGCTATTGTTCGTGTTAGCGTATATTATGTGTGACCCAAGACAATTCTTCTTCCAATGTGGCCCAGAGAAGCCAAAAGATTGGACACCACTGCACCACATCAAATGAATCGCTGAGGCCTGTCAAATCCACTTCCTAAATATTTCTGAATTCTCTCCACTTATCTCCATGACTACTCTGCTAATTCAGGCCACCACATTGCTGGTTTAGATTACTACAACAGTTTTCGCTCCTGTCACTCCCACAGTGCACCAATACATACTCTGTTCCACAGCAAGAATCATCTTTCTAAGTGACAATCTGATTATGTCACCCCCGGGGCCAAATCCCCTGACCTCTAAATTCCTTAACTTGGGTTTTAAAAACCTTGCACAATCTGCTTCCTGCTTCTCTCTCCAGCCTATTATTTCACAATAGACCTTTCCCCTGGAATTCTGTGCTTTAGCCATACTGACATGTTTCCAGTTCCTGAATGTGTCATGCTTTCCCTGGGCCCCTCAGCAGATACTCTTCCTTCTGACTAGAACATTCTCCCTAGATGGAGAGCTGCATAGTCTTCTAGACTTACCTAGCTTAGACATCACCTCTTCAAACAAACATTCTCTGAATCTCATTCCACAGTTAGGTGTTCCCACTGTTGCATAACTAAATATATGACATTAAAATGATCTTGAAAACAGAAACAAGATTTTTTTACTAATTGTAGACATTCTTAATACATTTGCTTATGTCTACAAATTTTATGAACACCCTGGTTATCCCCTGTTAGACAGTAAGTTCCATCAGAGTAGAAACTGTGCCTGTTTCATGGGCATGTCATCAATGCACACAGACCCTCAGACAATATTACATCATAATTCACTTTGTTGGTAAAGGAGAGTCATACATAAACTATCTGATGACATGATAGAGCTGCATAACACTTCAGGATTTTTCCACAGATGTATGATAAAAAAGGAGGAAAGCAATTCTGTCATTTTTCCTCTACCACAGCATGAATCTGTATATTAGCATTCAAGCTAATAAACCACACATCTATGAATTTTGGTTTAGATAAGATAGTCACATCTAATAAATACATTTTGTAAAAAGAAAAAAAAACAAAGGCAGAACAAGGAGAGATAATGCAAGTTTCACTAAATTATGGATGGAAAATAAAGTAATTACAGTCGGAAAACAAAAATTATCACTATCTTAATTCAACATCAGAAGCTGAGGAATGGTGACAGGAATGCTTCTAAAAATAAAGCATTCTAGGCAAACTCTAGGCCAAGTATATATTAAAGAATGAATTCTATGTTGCAACAGCAATTGTGACATCTATTTCTCCCCTCTTTTAGTGAAAATGTACCCAACCTACTTTTAGTTCTAAGTAAAGACATATTATCAAGATCTTCAAGTACTGGCTAATACTTACGGCAAAGGGCCTTCTGCAGTCTTCGGAGTTTCATGGCAGTCCTATAAGCTGAGAACCTGACATTATTCAGGTCAGCTGAAAAGGGGGAAAACAAAGATCATTTGTTATTTCATCAGGAAGCAGAGACAAAACCCCCCAATGATTTGCCAATAACTACAACCACCGCAAAAATAGCCTAGAAAAATATTGTGTGTATGCTCCAAGCTTTCAGAGGTAAAATTCTGTTAATGTGGGGAAAGAAAAAATAATTCATTTTGCCCTGTAACAATGAGGAAAGCTAAGTTCTGTGAAGACTACAGTGCAGTAGCCTGAAGGGCATTCATGTAGTCCTTGTTCCCAAGACGAAAGAGATGGACAGGGATTTTTTTTTTTCTAGAAAGTAATCTGGATCTAATGTAGTGAATCTTTACTGCACATGATTAAAGAGAACAAGAAATATATTATTTAAATAGCTATAAGACCTTAAACAATCAAGTGGCAATGTAACATTTTTTTCTGAATATAGATGTTATACATACTCACTTTGGATAACTTAGACATTATATATATGTATATATATATAGATATATATATATTTTTCAAATAAATCATCCACAATCCCATAAACTCAAAACAGGCACAACTGGCTGGACTCAGTGGCTCATGCCTGTAATCCCAACACTTTAAGAGGCCAAGGTGTGAGGACTGCTGGGGCCAGGAGCTTTAGATCAGCTTGGGCAGCAGAGTGAGACCTCATCTCTACAAAAAAAGTTTATATAAATCTTTTAAATAGGCACTGTTAACATTTTGAGTGTTTTTATTTTTTGGCCCAACATATGTGTCTATGTGTGTGATATGTATTTTTAAATATAATTTGCATTAAAATAAACATTTGGCTGTATATTCTACAGTACAATCATTCTAATGTTCAGCACTGAATAACAACAATGTATGCTACTGTGGTTTCTACAGTCACCTGTCTGTCAAGCCCTGACTCACATCACCTAGCAGGAAGCTATATTTAGGTGATGTTCTTACTCAAGTCTGCACAAGCCTTGATAGATACTGGGCTACATTTATTTTAGGGACCCAGCTCTACAAAGCTCCTTGAAGATAAGAACTCTGTCATTCTTCTACTGTCATTTTTCCTAGCAACTTAACATACAATTGCTCTCTGAAAAAGCTGGTTTAACACAGATCATGGACTGACTGACCAATTGAATGAATCAATAAAAGAATGAAAGAAAGAAAAAGTACACTGACATACATGACTAACTGCCATAATAAATGGCACCTACAAAACCAATTCTAATGAGGTGTTAGGAAACAGCAATAATTCAATTCATATCCAAGTCACATGGGTCAATATTTTCAGCTTTATGGCCATTGCAGAGACCAAACATAAAGTCTGAATTTAAACTAGGGGAAAGAAAATGACGTTTGTAATTTACTTGAAACTATTCAGCATACACTTTTTTTAAAAGGTTGGAATACCAAACCTTGGTGAGGATATGGAGCAACTGGAATTCTCATACACTGTTTGTTGGGAATGTATGACAACTTTGGAAAACCAATCAGTCAGTTTCTTAAGAAATTAAACATATATGTATATTATGACCCAAATATTCTTTTCCCAGATATTTGCACAGAATAAAACATATGTCCACAAAAAGATGTACGTGAATGTCCATAACAGTTTTATTCATAATAGCCCCAAACTGGAAACCAATAAGGCAATAGATAAATAAACTGTGGTAAAGTCATTCAGTGGGATATACTGTGCGATGAAAAGGAATTATCTACTGATAATGCAACAATGTGAACTGATCTGAAAAACATTAAGCTGGGTAAAAGAAGCCAGGCACGAAAGAGTACATACTGTTTGGTTACATTTATATCCACTTCTAGAACAGACAAAACTCAGCAACTTTGCCAAATGGCAGCCTGGGGTGTGGTGGGAGTAGGTAACTGACCTCAGAGGAACACAAGGGTGTTTTCTAGGTGATTGAAATGTTATATCTTGATTGGCATGGTGGCTACACGAGTGCACATATTTGCCAAAACCCAACCTGTACACCTAAAATGGAAGTATTTTATACTGTTTAAATTATGCCCTAATAAGGTAAATTTTAAGAGTCTTTAAAAACCGTCACATGAACAGTACACTATAATGTATGTGTGTGTTAGCTTAAGCTACGCTGTAGAGGTGGTCAGTTGTCTTAATCAGGAATGAACTCCCAGGGTGGTTGGCTAGCAATTAATCAAAAAGTCTCACACCAGAGGAGGCCACTGTAAGTGATTCAGTTATATTTAGCTCTTATTACACGAGGGGTTTCATTAATTATCCTAATTAATGTTAAGACGGGCTTGTGTTAGTGATATTAGTGGTTTGTAAAATATGAGGATTGTTGAAAATCATTTAGAAACATTCCCTGCCTTTACATTAAGTTTAAGAAGAATCCAGTAGGTTCTCCATCTTTAGAAATGGTGTCCTAGACTGAATTCCAAAATGTCCAGCTGTGGTTCACTGGATTCTTAGTGCCAAAATTCAGTTAGATGGTTGAGAGAATCCTACTGCTGGAACAATGGTTCTCAAACTTGAACAAACATCAGAATCACCTGGAATGGATAGTTTAAAGATGCAGATTTCCCAGGCCCTACCTCCACATTTTCTAATTCAGTGGGTCTGGGGAGGGCCTGGGAATGTGAATTTCTAGTAAGTCTCCAGGTGATGCTAATGCTGCTGGTCCAGGGATCATACTTTGAGAACCACTCTAATAGAAGACTGGCCTGTGTAGACTGTGAGCCTCTCACACCAAGCACCCCAAAAGACAGAATTGTGACTTCACTATGTCTCTGGCACAGGCTGTAAGACTGTTTTGTACCTATTGCCTAATAAATGTTCATAACTGACAGAACTTGTTCTGAGACTTGCTTTCCTTATAACCTGGCAGCTGAGAGGTGGTTGAGGGCAGTCCTCGCCTACATCTAACCACAGGTGACTACCAACACCTATTACAGAGAACCTATGTGGGTCCCTGTTAGTCAAGTGTGATTTGCAGAAGAACAGCATCAGTATCTGCTTGGAGCTTATGAGAAATGCTGAATCTCAGGCCCCACCCAGATCTGTGAATCAGAATCCGTATTTTAGTAAAGTCCTCTGGTGATTCATATGGACATTCTTTAAATGCATATTTTAATACAGTTTCTTGTTCCATGTTGTTAAACTTCAAGTATAAATTCTGGACACCAACCTGTGTTGTCTTTTTTCTATCTTTCTATATTTCATTTTGTGAGCTTTTATTAATAGATTATTTAATAACTACTATAGTCAATTACACCAAAACCTCCCCTCTGGGATATATTGGTGAGTCTCTTGTTTATGATAAATACCAATAAAAGGTATTCAATAAATTAAAAGCATTTCAGAGTATCTTGAAAGGCTGTATATACAGATTGCTTTGTGAAGAGAATTAACATTTGCCTGGATGCTGTCCTTTGGTGAGCAGCACTTGATCTATTTGGGTCCCTCTAATTATTCTTCATTCTCTCTCCCCTAAAACATGTGGTTTTTCTTTTGTTTCTTTTGCCCAGTTATCATTGCTTACTCATTTAAGTGATCTCAGCCAACTCATGGTATGAGTGGTCATGTGGCATTAATCCATGAGAAACCAATTCCCGTCTCTGCCTCCAGATTGGTGCAACAGCATTCACCAGTACCATCAGATTTTTCCTACACTTGCTAGTATGGAGTTCCTTTAGACACACTCATAATTGAGTCGCTTTGGCTCTTCATAAAATAAGCAATGTAGAGATATGGAATTGGTCAAATACAGATCCCTTTCCGTTAACACCAGCCTGCAGCAGTTTCCAAGGGATAAGCATCAAATCCCAAAGTTTCTTTCACTCCTTTACTTTCACAAAAGTATTCAGTGCTAGTTTTGTGCCAACCAAACATCTTGTAGAAGATACTGGCTAAAAAAGTTTCTCTTTTTTCCCTTTCTAATCCTCCTTTTCCACTGCCTCTTAACTCATGTGCCTAGTTTCCTACCATCTTTCTTCTTTCATAAAAAGAAGATTCCTCTCTTATGACCTCAATTGTACTCTCTTTTCCTATTTTCCTGGTTCTATTCAGCATTCAGAGCAAATGGTCTAAATGAGGTCACAAGCTCCATCCAAATCTTACAGTTCATATCAAGAATTGGCAAATTCCAGTAGCTAGAGATCCAAGTGGGAGAGGCAAGAATGATCTGATTCTTTCAAGGCATGAATATTAGCGTGGAACAGTATCAGAGACAAGCATCTGGAAGGTTTCCACTCTAGCAGTGCTCTCAGCTTCCCTAAAGCATTCAGACTCTCCTCCTTCTAAATACTTCTAACTATGACACATTCTGCCTCTAGTTAATCCTGACAGCTTTTCAGCCTACCCCCAACCCACCGTAGTGAATAAGCTTTCTGACACCAGTTTTCTATGCACCAAAGTCCAATCCATTCTCAAACAGTGATTCAGGCATACCAGAAAAAAGTAGCAGGGAAAATGTTTTGTTTCCATCACAATGCTACCAAAGCCATACAAATGTATATCCGGTAACTGTCAGTGAACTGCAACAGAGTTCTGGTGCCCTAAAAGTCCTACTACTCAAGAGAGTTAACTGCCTGTGTTGTCTGAGTCTGCATGTGTTGCTAGGAATCTGCAGAACCAGTCCCTCTGGCTTACAGCTGGAAGAGATAAGTCTCTGCCTTGTGAAACTGTGTAGGATGCACACAGAACCCTCAAGATGTAATACAGCTGTGAACAATGTGACACTGTTCTGGGCTAAAGCTTGGGATGACTGTGTAGCAGAAGTATGTATGCAGTTTAATAAAGCTAAAGAGTCCCCCATTCCCGTCCCCCATGAGAGACTGGTCTCTAATTTCCCTGGGAGCTGACTTTCCAGGACTCTGATCCAAGTTGTAATGAGCTCACTAGCTCTCATAGCCAGAACTCAAGAGGAGTGAGACTCTCAAGATATCAGTTATGCCATATTTCCATGGCAGCTGGGTGAAGGCGCACTTCAGAAGGATAAAAATGCTGAAATGTACATTTCTCTTCATAA